ACACACTCACACACACACACACACACACACACATACACACACAGATATATTTATATATATATATATATACAACCGACAGACAGACACCCCGCTCTCATTTCCCCTTCCAACAAAACTCCCGTTCTTAAGAACTTCAGCTTTGGCAAACAACCCTTATCATCTCTTAATTTTTCTCCATTTTGCTCATAAGCAACTTGGCGAAGCGGAAGAAATTACTTCTGTTGTTTGTAAATTTCTGTTGATGTTTTCACAACTTACTCTAATAATACCCAAATTAGCTAGAAGTAATTTTAAAAAAATTGCATGCTACAAATCCTGAATTGAAATTAGGCCTGAAATTAGGCCGAACTTTATTTCACAGCAAGAAAGCAAGGCAAAAAAACATGCCATCTTTGGTTCTTTCAAATAATGCAATTATATGTTTTGAAGCTCTATTACTTAAAATCGGATCCTAAAAGTTTACTTGTGATGTGGGAGCAACATCCAACTTTACCTGTACTTATTCAAAACTTCACATTATTTCGAGTACTGTTGTGCAATAGTTATGCTAATAACAATATCACTTTTTTTTCTCTCTTTTTCGGATTATTTTATAGAGCTCCTTCAATCTATAAAAATACGGTCGCAGAGAGAAAATGGCAGAAGAAGAAGAAGAGATGTAAGCTTAACTTTTCATTGTTACATTTACTTTCATAACTTTCACTTCAAAATTTCCATTGAACACTTCAATTTAGCACTGAGGAGGAGGAAGATGAAGAAGTAGAAGAGGACGAAGAAGAAGAAGCTGCTGAACCGGAAGCACCGCCAGCTCCAGCATCTGTCGATGATGAACCACCGACCGAAAAAATGGAAGCTACACCCCAGTGAGTTGAACGCAGAATTTTCAAATAATTTTCACTAAAATTTTACGCTTCGGCCTTCCAGTTATGAATTTCCGTAGGTAACTGGATTTTGGATTAATGTAATGTTGATGTACATGTGATGAACTTTCAAATGTAACGGTGATAAGCTAGCCTTCTTTGCAAATCAGAAAAAGAAAAATGGAACTTGAAATCTGAATTATGGTTCAGAACGACCGTCTGGTTATCACATGATTGATCACTTGTGGACTATGATACTAATTTTCTCCCTATACTTGAAAATTTGAATGCAAAAATGGAACAGCCTGCAATAAATCATTCTTAGTTATCTGCAAAATTTCAAAAGAGACGATACTGTTTTCTGTTCAGTTTGCCTGGTCGTTTCAAGAGTGGCATATAGAATCTTTACTAAAGCCAAGCACTTTTACAGAGGAGATATTTTGTAATACTTTGTTCAAGTTAATTCGCAGAGAAGTTAATTCTACAAGCATATTTCAGGTTAAGACGCGCACCACCTCAAGAAAAGGATGAAGCACCGGCTGAACAGACGGAAGCTGAAAAGGCTATGCTTGTAAACATCTACTTCAATTTTTTATATCTTCCATAAAAATACTATCCTTGAGTAAAGAGAAAAAATTTACTTCTTAAATTCCTCATATTTTCTGTTCACTTCATTCAATGAGTCAAAATTTAAGTATCGAGAATTTGCGGTTATCTCAAGTCGAGATGACCATTAAATGCTTATCAGCGTAAAATGAGTACAGGACATAGATTTGCCTTGATTTCAGGCCGCCAAAAAGAGGCATCAAGAAGAAGAAGCAGCTAAAATCCAAGATTATGAAGAACGACGACGAGTCGAGAAAGAACAGATCGAAGAAGAGCTGCGAACACTGAAAGAAAAACAAGAACAAAGAAGACAACAGCGCGAACAAGAGGAACGAGAATTGGCGGAAAGACAGCGCCAGAATGAGGAAAAGCGACGGCAAGAAGAGGTATCATTTTTGAAAGTCGGGGAATGCCTAAAGCTATGCTGTCTCCCTCACCCACTCGCGATAATGAACTCTCTGAAAAGGATATATCGGATCACCGTAATTCGAATCCTCAAAATATGAAATGGATTCCGAAATGGTTTACAATTAGTATATATTGCTCATATAAAATCGTAATGTATCAAAGAACACAAGCTACTTTATTTTTTAAGTAGCTTACCTTACTACTATATGTTGATAGATTAAATGCGCCTTAGTTTCTTATGTCTTGAGGAGGAAAGCAAAGCGCGCATTGAAGCGGAGAAGCAGCGGCGAGAGGAAGAAAGAAAGAAACGACAGAATTTGATGGCTGGCTCGTTTGCTGGTGGGACAACAGCTGGTGGGAAGAATTTCGTGATCCAGAAATCAGAAAAAGGCGACCAGTTGAAGACTCTTGCTGTAATCGCTTATTTCTTGAAAGCAACATGAAAATTCGATTGAATGAACTGGAATAGAATGAATAGAAATCAAAACTGAAAGTAACATAGTGAATTAATTCAATAATGCTCTTGCTTCGAGATGTTTTTTTTATCAAAAATCAGCTAGATTGTTTCGTTCAGAAGGTACCTATCACTTTTATGAATTAAGATTCCAGATTGAATTTGGGGTAGATCAAGTTTGAAGTAGTCTGAAATTTTTCAAAATTTGTCAGGCAAAGCAAGAAACGAGTGAAGAAGGGAAAAAAGCGGCAAAGCAAGCATTTCTGGAAGCAATTCAACGTCGCGGAGCCAATATCGCCGATTTGCTGCCAAATGATCTAAAAGATAGGATCAAGCAGTTACATTCACGTATTGTAAAACTGGAAGGCGAAAAGTATGATTTGGAGAAAAGACATGAGCGCCAGGAATATGACGTAAGTCATTTTATCTAAGCCGTATTTAAAGTCCAGAAATATCAATGTTAGCAAAATATAACGAAAGGTTATTCAAGTGAACAAATTTCAGTTAAAAGAACTGCATGAGCGTGAACGTCAAGTTGCTCGCAACAAAGCTTTGCAAAAAGGTCTGGATCCGGAAGAAGCAGCTGCCTCCATACATCCGGTTCGTCGACTTTCAAAGCTGTAGTCGAATTAGGTTACGAACAATTGTGAAGTAAAGAAACTAACTAACAGAAAAGTAAGCCAATTAGCAGTCAAGGGATTAGTTGATTAAATAATAGGTAAATAAATTATTACATTACAGACCTGATTATTATAGTTATTCTCAATCTAAATAGCTTAAATATCTTTTTAGCCAAAGATCAATGTCGTATCAAAATTCGATCGCCAAATTGACAGACGCTCATATGGTGATCGGCGGGATCTTTACGAACATGTAATATCAATTAATTTTCTTCATTTTCTTATAACATTTGTGTACGTTCTTCTTTATTCCATCAGATTCGTTAAAAAACGACAATCGTAGAAAGTTCCAAACGGAGAGGGCTGGATCATTCTAAGATTTATAAAAGGGACCATTTGAATAACCAAATTAAAGTAGATCTGGAATACCGTACCGCTGCGATTATTCGGTTGTTTATAACGTCTCGATCAGACACAAAGTGACATCCCCATATTTTGTTATTCGATTCCTTTATTTACTACATTGATTACAGTTAATATTTCAAGCAAATCCAAGAGTACTGCAGCATTTCAGGATGCAGGAACTTTTGTAAATGATATAATCTATTTAAAGTAGTGTTTTGTAGCCAATAGTTAAAAAGCCACCAAAAATTGCGCACGGAACAGCTCGTCCGCCACCAGAATGGGGTCGACGTGAAAACGAAGAGCTTGAACAGATCCGTAAAAATCTGGAGCCGCCCAAATACGTAGAGCAAGTGAAAGCAGATGGTGATGCTGCAAAACCACCAGTTCAGCCAATTCCACTCCATGTACCTGGTGTGGATGAGGTTGAGGAGGACGAAAACGCATCGATTCAGGCTACCGAAGGAAATTTGACTGCAGAAGGTGATGGTGCGGGAAAAACTGCAGCGAAGGATGCCGAGAAAGCTGGCCGGAAAGTCTCCGGCGCGGCAGGCGGTAAAGCTCCTGCACCACCACCAACGGTTAGAAAATTTTTAGTTATTGGTAGATTTTTGGTTAGCATGATGGTGCTATGCTGTCCATAAGGTTATAATTATATAAAAAAAAAAAAATTGCGACTGAGAATATCATAAGAATAACAGAAATACTATAAAATGGGTAAAATGAGTTTCCTCTTTTTTTATTCTTTAACAAACTTATCAAATTCTTATTCCATCATATTTTAATTGCATTTTAGGTTAAGAAGCCGGTGAAAGCCAAGTGAAATGGATCGTACCTGCCTATTTTCTTCTTGTCTCAATACAAAGTTTATTAACCCCATAAATGATGTCAAAAATTATCTACGAATGTTCTTTTGTAGCCAAAATGAAATATCGATATAAATGTGATTGTGTCAAGATAATATCGGCCATCAACCGTCCGGTACTTTCAGTGTAATGTATCTTCTAAAATTACTAATGTAACAGCGCAGAATATATTTGGTAAGAATGGAGAGAAAAGGCCCTTAAGTAATTTATAATTATCTTACCAAATATACTGTACAGCCATTAATGACGAGAAGTGGAAGTGTTAATAATGCCTGGATGATTAGTAGAGACAAACACAAGTTTCTTATCAATAAACAATGAAGAGCGACCATCGTCAGTTATACGATATATCAAGAATGATTCTCCATGCTTAGATCATAAAATTAGCTCTTTGGACGGTAGGAACAATATTCTCTCTGTTTGATGATAGAACACTGTTTTCAACAGCTATATCTATTGCTATATCAGCAATCAGCTGACAAAGAACTATAATGTCTCGCGATTGCAACCTCATTATACATTTACTCCGGCAATAGACGATTTGTCATTCAGTATCGGAAAAGCACTGCACAGCAAACTTTTCATTTCTTTGGATTTTGTTGAAGGCTTACTTATACATGAACGCACTGATATCATAAATCCACGTAGACCAATATAGTGAAATAAAAAACTTAAGATTGAAAAGTCAACTTTTGATCAACGCATCGTAAAGATCTTCTATAATTCGACCGGAATGCCTGCTCTCTTACTTTACCTATTAATAGCTATTTAATTCAAAAGACTGCTTCATTGTCGAGAGGTTGCAACACCTGTTTCATTTCTTTGGATTTTGTTGAAGGCTTACTTATACATGAACGCACTGATATCATAAATCCACGTATGTATCGCGCAGTTATAGCTGCGCTCCAATCGGCATTGTTGTTTCCTTCGATATGAATGTAAAATAGCCATTCTCGAGGATTGATCGACGGCCCTATTGCTGTGACAGTCCGTTTGCTAATAAACTTCCTGCACACCGGAATTCGGCATAGTCTACAATTCAATCCCGACTAACCAAAACCCGAAGTCATCATTGTAATAATCAAGATATTACGGTAATGTCCGAATAATCAAGGTATTACGGTAATGTCCGAATGCTTCCTAATGTTAGGTAAAAGTGTAAGAATAGTTAGTTAAGTAAATATGTCGATAGGAGGAGCTGAAAACCATAAATTAATAATCGGACGAGTTGACAAGTAGGGGGACTGATTCCACTGAGATATTCAGAAGAGATGGCAACGGTCGATTGTTAACCTGTTCAGTATCTATATGTCAATGAAATAATTGCATCGCACAAACCCTCTCTTCTTCTTCCTAAACTTGATAGCACTTTTGTTTGTTTGCGGTCTTAGACAGTGAAAGCCACATTCCTTTTGCTCTCTTCAAGGCAAAAAAGGCCCAGACCACGTCTTATACACCTCCTACGTCCATCTTCTTTCAGGCTCGGCGGAGGATTCTAAATTTGCATTGTAGCCCGGACTAACAATTAATGCCATCCACCGTTAAATTTAGCGAGAAAGTTCTAGAAGGAGTCGACTTTAAACGATTGCGAGGGCGGTGGTCGAACATCGAGTAGTGACGCTGCGTTTTCTTTGAGAATAAATGACCTCATCAGTTCTGTCTTCTTTTTCTCAACGAGGGTCAGCGGTCATCATTACAGAACTTTGTTTCGATCTGTGTTCTCGGGTCGAACAAGGAAAGGTGCGTGCGTTTACGTGCACTTATTTGTGGGAAGTGTCGAGAAGACTGTGTGTATGGTAACTAGTGAATAATTAAGCTTAAACGAGATACAGTACTTACAGTTAATTACCTCTATGCATACTCATACCGTAAGGTCGTAGGAATGTGAGGCAGTTGTCGGATGCGAGTTGTGCCTGGATTCTAATTAATCTCTCTAAAGCTCCCTACCGTGACCTGATGTAACAGTTCACCGTGAACCTGGTCCCTTGCCACGTTATCTTTTTGCCAATTGAAATTGCAAAAAGTCAGTGTTAGAGGAATACTGTGATGCATGTACGAGTCTAACACTTACTCTCAGTGTTTGTTTTATTTAATTCAGCATAAGATTCAAGTTGAACCGTGAACTGATTCATCATGTTGTTCATTGATAATGCATTACACATTCTCTTTCACCTGAGCAAAAGAGGAAAGGGATTAATTTAGTTGAGGCGAGTAACAACTGTCTGTAGATGAATATCAAGAATATTTTTCGGGAGAGAAACGCAAATTGTTATCATTTTTCAATGCTGAGGAATCGGCATAAGTATGTTCTTGAAATTTATGGACTACTTAGTGTTTGTTCATCTTATTCTCATTGACTTATATATGCAAATACAAGGATTAGTGAAAGACTGACTTTGGAATGATGTGGTTATGTTTATAAGACAAGCATATAGTTTGATGAGTTAGTAGCTTTAGCTTCTTATAAACATCTGTTAACCGGTATTTTATGGTCCACTTGTTTTTTAGTTAATTTACTTAATCCATTTGTTTATCATGTAAATTAGTCATATAACACTGTTTGTCGTTATAATGTTTTTTTGTTTTTGTTTTCATAATCTTTTTTTGAGAGCTTTATTTCGTTTTGTGCAGCATCAGTTCCGGATAAGAACAGTACGTTGAATAATGGCATCCATCCCAACGTAAGTTATCATTTCTATTTAGATAAGCGGTCGGAATATATAACTGGAATACTGTTAAGCTAGGGAGGCGTTGCCGTCTTTTTTCTCTCTTTAATATATTCGTTTAACAGAAATAATAAGTTATGGATTCTAGAGTGACTGATGATAAGACAAAAAGAATGAGGAATTAGCAACAGCTATCTTAAAGGACAAAGTGAAACCGAATCGGCTGATTGTTGATCAATCCGTCAATGACGATAATTCTGTGGTTGCTCTTTCACAGGTATAAACTGAATTTGATCGTGATTCAAATAACTGTTTAAGGTTCTTAATACTTCATCCAGTACATACTGTTTCATCGGAATGGTTGAATGATAGCCACTAAATCTCCTGTAGTGTTCTTAAATTCTGCATTAAAACAGTTGATTTTCTAGACAAAGATGGATGAATTAAATTTGTTTCGCGGTGACACTGTTATTTTGAAAGGAAAAAAGCGCAAAGAGACAGTATGTATTGTGCTGTCGGATGACACTTGTCCAAATGATAAAATTCGCATGAATCGAGTGGTTCGAAATAATTTACGCGTACGTTTGGGCGATGTTGTAAGGTTCGCTTTTTTTTATAATGCTTTTCGAATATTATCATACTTTTTTGAGATCACAGTTCGGAGCAGTGCAATTTTTTGAGTATTCCAGGTAGTCATACTGAGTCTTCTAAAAAACATTTGCAGCTGCAGTAACAATTCTATTTTCCTCTATGTTTCCGCTGCTTGCATTGCCGGAGTTGTCAGTTGTTGGTTTTACATGCTAACACGCAACAGACTATTGTCGTGACGCTATTTGAACTGTCTATAGTGGTCATGGAATATTGAAATGAGACCTCACTGGAATGTAGGAGTATGAATAGATTTTTTCCCTAATACTCCCTTTTATTTCGTGTCAAAACTTCTTTTTATAGCGTCACCGCCGCTCCGAACATAAGTTATGGAAAACGTGTTCATGTTCTTCCCATCGATGATACGGTTGTAGGTCTCACGGGGTAAGTTCTTTACAAGTATTTTACTCATTTTAGGTCTAAGTAATACCGGATGCATTGCTTTTAGAGCAGTGATGAATCGTGCAGGGGTCCTGAACTGGCAGAGGTGTGTGCCAGTGTTGCTGTTGTGACGATTTGCATCGGGCGAATTTCCAGCATGCACAGAAAAAACAGCACTTTACTGAGCTCTGTCAAGTTCATAAACTGAAAGTTCAAATTCTGATTTCCTGATAATGTTTAGTCCATGCGGTAAGCAAGTGTCCGAGTATTATGTATTCATCATGACTGTGCGATATAATCGTGTTCGTGTCATCACATTTTTCAGTAATTTATTCGAAGTGTTTTTGAAACCTTATTTTGTGGAATCATATCGACCTCTTCATAAAGGCGATCTTTTTTCTGTTAATGCAGCCATGCGTAATGTTGAGTTCAAGGTGAATTTCCAGACTTTCTTTTTTTTTCGCACAAGAGAGAAGTAAATGTTATGATGACAAACTACTGTGTTTTAGAATTATGTGCCGATTGTTTTTTTCTTTAGATTCAACTTGAAATCATTTGAAAGAGTTTGACTAGCCGTTCGGATCCTTTTATTTACTCTTTTATAGGTACATGTCCACTTACTATATGTGAATGTTTTTAAGGTTGTTGAAACTGATCCTTCACCATCATGCATCGTTGCGCCAGATACAATCATTCATTGTGAAGGTGAACCAATTAAGCGTGAAGAAGAAGAGGAAAATATGGCTGATGTTGGTTATGATGATATTGGTGGTGTGCGTAAGCAACTTGCGCAAATCAAGGAAATGGTCGAACTTCCACTGAGACATCCTCAGCTCTTCAAAGCTATTGGTATCAAGGTATAGCTAATTTCAGGGCAGACGTTCAATTTTTTACCATACTGCTTTCTTCTGATTTTTGATTAAGAGACAAAATAATAATAGATCTGGGAAACTTCGAGGACACAGAGACAGATAGTTCGTATTTTTTACTGTTATTCTCTTATTATGAGTGAAAGTTGTTTAGGTGATGTAAATATTGATTAAGTTTGGATATTGATACATGGATCGGTTTGTTTTTTTGCTCCATCAGTTGATTTGAAATCACTTCTTGATTCTCTTTCAGCCACCAAGAGGTATTTTATTATACGGACCACCAGGTACCGGTAAAACATTAATAGCTCGAGCCGTTGCGAATGAAAC